CATAAAAACATGAATAAGTTTTTGTCAGATTTACTTTATGACTGTTTGTGAATCACTGCATGTGTCTGTATTTTTGTGTCCATGACTCAGATCTGATTTTCTCTTTCTGTCTCTCTCTCTCTCAGCTCGCTCACAGAGAATGCTTTATGAAGGACACTGTAGCTGAATATCTAAACCTCACACACACGCCTGCTTCTCAAACAGCGCTGGTGAAAACAGAATCAAGCCATCAGCATCTCTGGATACAGACACACATGCAACCTGATCACACAGTGAACTGCTAAATCTGACACTGCAAAGGCTTTTAGGGGAAAGTCCAGCTGCGTGAAGATCCATCTTTCATAAAACTCTGATATGACTTACAGTAACCAGGTTTACACTGTATGTTACAAAGCCAAATCAAACAGCATTGACTTAAAGTAACAGACAACAAGAACCATGCTGAAGTTTAAAATCAAATCACTTAACTTTACAAACAGCACTAATTAAATACACATATGCATAAAGGTCAAAATCTGCATAATGCATTCAGTGACGCAATGGAAATTGCAGTTTGAATCCCTGAACTTAACTGTGAGCGCTTGTAATATGCAATAGTAGTAAGCAAAACAGCACTAACAAGCAATGCATCTCCAAGAGAGCGTTTAGTCCGAAAACTGATCTCTTTCAAGTCAGTTTAGAAGCTGTTTGTTTGGAGTGAAATGTCAACAAGTAACTCACAGGAAGAGGCCGTGCAGACCGCTGGGACTTCGAGTGAAGCGCTGCCTGTTTCTTGGTACGGCTTGCGTAAATTCAGCCTGTTTTTGGTCAGTGAACTGGAGAAGAGCTCCAGAGGAATCAAGCTAAAGGTTAAAATAGTTCAAGCAGCTTTTAAACACTCCAAATTCCTCTTTTCTCCATCCAATCAGAATTCACGCCGGGCATCGTAACCAATCAGAACGTTCCTCCCGGACTCTGCTGATGTCACTCTGAAGTTGCTAGGCAACAGCCTCTCCAAAAAGAAGCAGGAGCAGTGAACGGATGAGACTGCAGGATGGCTGTGAATGATGCCCTAATTAACATAACTAATTAAGATGCTCTGGTGGGTATATAATTCAAAGCCTACTGCTCATTATCCTGTGCAGAATGGAAGTTATGCTTCATATATGAAGCATTTAACAACCTGAGACCTTGATTAAAAGAGATAAAACAAGACATCTCGCGCAAAACCAGACTGAGCTATCTATCTGTCTGTCTGTCTGACCATCTGACCCACACACACACACACACATACATAAACTATGTGGAAAAACACCCGAGGTCACCAGCATGTTAATCTTTTCCATAAAAAGCCACCTGCTTTGTACTCAAGTGCAGTCTGTTCCTTTAATTCTTGAAGGCTTTGTCTCTTGTTTTGTGCTTCATTCATAGAAACTTTATCCTTTTGTTTGTTTCTTGTAAATGAGTGTCCGCTGCTCATTTGCTCAGTTCTCTGTGCTTCATCCCCTGCAACAGTATCTCTGAGTGAGCGAGAGCGTGTTTGTAGTAACCTGAGCCGGTGTGGGCATCCCTTGTGTGAAACTGATCTCCACACAGTTACGGTTTGAACTGTTTCCCACTCAACCAAATGAGTAACCCAGCAGGTTAAACTGAACTAGTGTAGAGTCAGTAGCCAAGCGGTTAATGATCCAGACCACTGTACTGCTCACAAAGATGATTCAGAGAATCGTGTAACTGTGCTTGTGGCACATACCTGTAACATCTATCGTTTAAATTCTCTACTTTTACAACATTAGAATGTACAGTATAAAATAATTATATTTTTAGATTTGCTATAGATGACATCTAATATTATTATGAAATTATATATAAGATTCACTTTAAGTGAGCTTTAGATGACAGCAAAGGTAACCTAAATGTATAAAAAAAGAGCATGCCGTTATCTAATATCAGCTGATATATGCAATATCGATACTGATAAATTAAAATACTTCCTTGAATATGAACTCATAACCAATGGATATATTGTACATCCCTAAAAATGAATGGTCTAATGTATAAATTAATTCCAAGAGCAAGAGCATTCACAATTATCTATTATCAGCTGATATATGCAATATCGATACTGATAAATTAATTTCTTGAATGTCAGCTCATAAGAAATGGAACAGATATCTTGTGCATCGCTAAAAATATATATTGTGCCTTATTACGAATTTATTTACAAAACCAAAATTGCAGCCAACAAGTGTCCAGCAAACATGTGAAATCTTTTAATACTATTTAAAAAGCATCCCAGGATGCACCTCATGAAGATGATTGAAGAAGCTCAAATATAAGACTCCAAGTGAGTGATAAAATATAAGCAAAAGCAGCAGATAAGATAAGCCACTAGAAGCCTGGATTAGCAGCCTAACGAATAAGCTTTAATGAGTCAGACCTATTAGACATCATTTAGTCACCCAGAGTGAAGATTTAGTCGCATATGCGAGTGATTTACTCGCAATGTAGAGGGTTGTCAGAGCACATTTAACGCTACTAAACAAACCGCCCAAACAACCAATATCCTCAAGGAACCCATCTCAAGGCATCTTCTAGGTTGAATAATCCATCAGGCCTTTAGGAAATTACTTTTAATGATACGATTCCACACAAAACAGCTACAATTTACCATTTTAATGAGTTTAATTTAATGTACAATAACACTTGAATTCTGTTCTCACCAGATACTATTGCAGGCGAAGCAACTAAAAAACTATATGCTAAACATGCACTAACTAAGCATTAGAGTACTAGTCTAAGTACTTGCCTTGTGTGCAGGAAGATTAATTAATTAACCGCCACACTCATGCATTCAGAAGGTTTACGTCCAACCCTCTCCATTCACAATCAAACATTCATTAGCCCACAAAACCGCCATAACATTCCCAAACATTGGACGATATTTGAACAGCATGCTCACACCCGAGCTCCCATATGCAAATGACCCTGCATCTGATTGGCCGCAGCGATGGAACAGGTAGGTTAAGTAGCTTCTGATTGGCTGAGCTGCACGCTGTGCATTTTAACCCCATTTACTGAATGTAATCCATTAAATCCAGGCCAACCACACCTGCTCTTGTCTCAAACAGAGTGAGGAGGCCAGTAAAGAGGATTTGAGTGCATATCCGTTGCTGTACTGATACTATTCCGGGTGCGTTCTCACCGGGAGAAAGCTGCGGCGCATCTCGTGTCGGGTTGCCACTGCTGGCACTGAATAATTGAGAGAAAGGTGGCCCACATCTGCGAGATGAACTTGCAAAGAAACTTTCTTTTATACAGCTCTGAGGATCAGAACACGCCCAAACGGAGTGATTCACCCGAGACTAAAAAGAAAGGGTGAATGTGCTTTCAAAGCGATGGCGAGGGAAAATTGCTGTTGCTATGGAGACCTGACGAGATGCAAGAGGTCCGAAGGCTTTGAAAGGTTTCGACTAGGAGCAGTTTTGTGCAGAGGTGATCACGTGTGTCAGCATCTAGCCTTGCAGAACAATTGAAAACAAGTCTTACGCCACTTGTATGATGCTCAAAACATGAGTGCTTAAATCAGGGACCACGACAAGCTCTAAAAACAGGAAGGTGGTGCATTTAATCAGATTAAAATCATCATTATAAAGCCAAATCCTCTGACAACTTTAAGTTGCGAGCCTGGTGTGTGTCTGTGTGTGTGTATCACAGTCGGTTGTAAAAATGACACAGGGATTGTGGACACTCCATATAACAGCACAATATTGAACTTTGACTGCACATTTTCAGGCACCTTTTTATAGGAAGTTTGAAAAGAGAAAAATATATATATATATATATTTTTTTTTTCT